TAATATATTATATTATTAGAGATTTGTTTCAATTGTATTATAAAATATTATAATGGATTAATTTTTAAGATGTCTTTTTTAGTCATTTTATATTTTTATTAGCTAGTTTTGCTAAACATAATTTATTCATCAACATGTTTGCCAAACATAACCTTACATAATCATACATGATATTATCAATAAAACTYTMTGTTTTTACCTTTTATATTGATTTACCATTTGTTTAATCACATATAATATTGGTGAAGTTTATGGACAAGATATGACTTATTCACAAGATGAAATAGCTTTTGATATGGTTTTCAACCCACTAAGAGTACCTTCACAAATAAATGTAGGACAAATATTCGAATATTCACCTTATCCTCAGTAAATATAAAACATAATAAAAAATCGGTAAAATTTATTTGCATATGATATAATTTGATGCGATTTTGCTTTAATACACGTATTATTACATGTGATAAGAGTGTTTTCGTAAATATACATATACATATTTTAAAAAAAATCTGATTTCAATAAACTTGAACTGTAAAATGATTATTAAAGTAAAATTTAAGGAAATGATATGATTGGTATTCAAAAACAAGAATAGATTGTTGGTATGTATTTTATAAAAAAAAGGGTGAGTGAAATTAGATTCCACAAGCCAATCAATGCAAGCAAAGATGTATTCATCTCATTTCCCTTTTTTGTTATTTGAATCATTCACACATCTTCATGCACCATACACTAATTTTAAGACTATTAATTTCACAATAAATTCAAGAATATATTATAAATGCATAATTAAAAATAATCTCAAACAAATTAAAAAAAAATTAAGAGCAAAATATGTTCTTATTTGATAGAAGTAAACACTCTCGCCCATTGTTTCTCTCTCTCTCTCTCTCTATCTATATCTATATTTATATTTATATATATAGAGAGAGAGATTGATTGATTGACTACTAGCCAACATCATAAATCCCATTTTCTTCAAAGCAATTTCTTTCACTGCAAGAGTATTGGGTTGGTTTTCTTTTATCACTATCTTTAATTTCATCTCTTAATTTACATCATCTTTAAATTGTGTTAGTCTTCGCTTAATTTCCCCTACTGGGATTTCTGCCCTGAAAGTTGGACCTTTCTTGATATCATTTTGATTTACTCGATTGATCCGTAGTTGGTTAAAGGTCGATTTTAAGTGGATTTTGAATTTGGTTAGTCAATTCTTAGGTCATTGAAATACTGCACTAATTTTTTTTAATGATTATTGGGAGTTCCTAAGTTACAACAGGAGTAAATATTCTTTATAATATTTGTTGTATCTGATGCTCTTGGAAATCTACCTAGTCAGACCATAAAAGTGAATGATGGCTGAAACCTTCACTTTAGATAATGGACTGAAATTTGTCCAAGTGTTATCAGTTTCTTTGGTCCTTACTTGTTCCTATCCTTTTCAGAATGCATCTTTTACCCTGGAAACGTTGTTAACTTGAAATGCTTATTATGAAATACGGGATTTGTTTTGATCATGTTGTATGTGAGTGTTATGCATTTAAACCACTAGCTGCCTCTGCCATAAATACGAAACAAGTCGCATACATTCTTATCATGCTTGGTTATGAGGACATTTCAGAAAAAAGTTATTTGCGGCTATAAATTAATTTGGTATATTTTTGAGGAGGACCCGATTCCTAGTCTAAAGGAATTTTTTATCATGTCCAATTTTGTCTCTAGAGGAAAAGGATCATGAGTTGCTTCAACTGTTGTGAAGAAGATGATATGCACAAGTCTTATGAWAATGGACCGTTCATTGCAAATAATGCAGCAGGTAATCTTTTATCTAAAACTGTAACATGTACATATCTTCCATCACAAATTTAACTTTTTTATCACATGAACTTGATGCTATCACTCTTTTCAACCCTAAATGGACACAACTTTAGTCTTGRCTCACAACTCCATAGTTTCTTTGCATTTGAAATAGGTAGCATCAGTTAGCCTGGAGATTGATATCCATACAAAGTATCAAGCTCTGATTATAGGTTGCAATGTGCCATAACTTCAAATCTAACATCTCTTYATAKAAAAATGAATACCATGTACTGGCACTTACTGGTGGGTTTGTTGCTTAAGGAAAYAATGCAGGTTATCGTGCTACTGAGGCCGTACCAAAGGATACACAGGCTGCAGCTGTCCAGCCTATTGCTGTCCCTGCCCTTCAAGTGGACGAGTTGAAGGAAATTACGGATAACTTTGGTACAAAGTCATTAATTGGTGAGGGATCATATGGAAGAGTGTACCATGGTGTCTTAAGAAGTGGGCARGCTGCAGCTATAAAAAAGTTAGACTCCAGCAAGCAACCAKACCAAGAATTTTTAGCTCAGGTTGGACTTATGGTTGCTAATATCTTTATTTAATGAAGTTGGTATTACAACAATATTCTGATTTGGGTTTGCTATTGTTTGAGTTTGTCATGGCAGGTTTCTATGGTATCACGGCTTAAACATGATAATGTCGTGGARCTACTTGGATATTGTGTGGACAGTGGTTTGAGAGTACTTGCCTATGAGTACGCTGCAAATGGATCTCTTCACGACATTCTTCATGGCAAGTGTTTTACCTCCTTAAAAGTCTTTTTAGCATTTTTGGGGMCTATTCTGTCAGATTATGATTCTTACTATGAAACTTTGGGAATTTGAGACATGTTTTTGGTCATCAATTCATCTGTTACTTCTGGCATCTTGAGGCACATCACATGTCAATTTTTATGATACTGAAATTCCATCAAAATATTTCAGAACCTGACATATCATAGTGTATTTACCTTGGTGTAAAAAATTTATTGAGCTGAGTGCTTGGATTTCATGGAATAAGTTTTGAAACCTATGAAAATCTTAGGTCAAATGTTCTTTGCTTGACCTATTTTTAAGTTGTATTGTATTAGATTYGGCAATGGAACCTTTGTCTTTGCATCAAGAAATTAGCTGTGAATGGAAACTTCAAAACTAYAGAATTAAAACCTTTATGCATAGATGATAACTATTCTTAACATATTGATGATTACCTACTCCTAAATCATAGAAAGACTACTCCATAGAAGAGCATGTTTGCCGCCCTACTACAACAAAGTAATTCTAATGAATAAGTTGGTGAAAGCATGTATGGATTTTAAGCCATGCCAAATCGGAAACTTTCTTATCATGTTAGCTTGGCTGTTAGTGTTGTACCTGTTCCATTTTACCGACTCAGATACATCATGGGTTTTGGAGCCATTTTGGTAGTTGAGTTTGTAAATTATTATCCTATCCCATAGTACAGTATTGGACTGATAGACCAGTAGATGCGCCAAGGCTAATAAACTGAACTCTAAAATAGTTAACCTAATTCTATCTCCCAACAATATAGATGAATCTTGATAACAACTCATCTAGCATCAATGATAGGTATTGGACGTTTGTCCTTCACCACAAGCTTGTTGAATGCCAGTCATGGACGCACATTAACCTTGATCATCGATTATGTAGCTATTGGTAGTTCAAAAGAGGTTTTTGATTTTTTTTCCAAGTACAAAACTGACATAGTTCTGATTGTGGATGCAGGACGGAAAGGTGTTAAAGGTGCATAGCCAGGTCCAGTTCTATCATGGTCCCAAAGAGTTAAAATTGCTGTTGGGGCCGCGAAAGGGCTTGAATACTTGCATGAAAAGGCACAACCTCATATTATCCATCGTGATATAAAGTCCAGTAATGTTATGCTTTTCGACGATGATGTTGCTAAGATTGCAGATTTTGATTTATCCAACCAAGCCCCAGACATGGCAGCACGTCTTCATTCCACTCGTGTTCTTGGTACCTTTGGTTATCATGCACCTGAGTAAGCTTCTCTTTGAATACTAAAATTTGAATTATATCTTTCTTTGAAATGTTATTAGTCAGGGTGTTCACAAGGGTTCACTGATCCCCAAAGAAATACTACATAAAACGCAACTCTAGGGATTAAAAAAGTAAATCATTTAGAGTTTCCTTTAGATCATTATATCATCCTAGAGTGTCATTTGTAGACATCTTCCCACCTYTGTTCCCAAAAGTGTCAAAACACACCGAGAGGTAAGGGCAATATGATAACTAAGCTTAACTTTGTAGAAACTACAAATAGAAAATCTTGGTGTTAATATCTGCTTCAATGTTTTTTCTGGAAGGGTGTCTCATGCTATGCCCACACTA